GATGATGTAAAGCGGCTCAGCACAACTGTGTCTGCACAGTTGGTTGGCGCTCTAAACTTGCCTAGTTCCGCTGCCATTTGCTAAAGTGTGGGGGCTTTTTCAGTACAAATTTGCTGGGAGTGGGTAATTTAAGGCGACAACTTGTCGGTGATCAACTCTGCTTCGTTGGCCCTTTTTCATGGCACTGCATCACTTCTCTTCTACTCACTGAGGACAGTGTCGCCTCAGGTGATGGTGCATGCAGGAGGATATATTCTCTCGTTTTCTCTTTTTCTGGTTGTTTATTCCTTCCCAAACTGCGCCCACTAAAGTGCGCCATTTGGGGGACATTTGAATACGATGAGGGTGATGAGGACGACTACGACTACGACTAGGACGACTACCAGAAGTGAACTCATACGCGGAATTAGCCCGACTGAATGTTGATCGGTCCAGAGCATCGGCTGGGCAATATTAATAAAGGGCAGCCACTGGCAGCGCACTTGGCCCGTCGTCATCGTCATTATGACAGCAATTATTAGTAGTACTCGGGCAGCGGCGGCAGCAATCGCCTGAGCGCATTCTTCGCATTCCATGTTACCCGGTTACGGTGGCGGCAGTAGCCGACAGGGTTCTCCTCGGCTCTACCCTACTCTCATTGCTTCTCTCTCCTCCTCTCTTTTTCTTTCTCTCTCTCTCTATTTCTCCCTTCTTTTTGGGCACGGACAAAGGCCTTCGTAGCATCGTTGGATGTCTTTTTGCTGGCCATGTCCACTTTTCTGCCCATACGATGGCCATTATATTCTCTGGATCGGCAATCATCGGACACAGGCCGCTGCCACATTTACCCGGAGCATCAACATCAGCAGCAATGTAGGACCACTTGGAGAAGTACTTTGTCGCGTTGACAATTTGCTCTTGCCATAGAATATAAATAATCGTAAGACTGCTCTCTACTGGAGAGAGTGATTTAATTTAATTTTAATTTTCATCAGGAGCAGCCAGCAGCAGGCCACAGTCGAGCAAGCATGAATGAGTGAATGAATGGCCGCCCATGTCCGGTTTGGTTCGTGCGGCCTGTCACCGGTGGCCGTCAACGCCATTTACAGTGACATTGTCGCACGTTTGCCGCCGTTGTTTTGCCACCGGACACAATCGATTACCAGGCGATATTGCTTGTTTGCTTGTTTCTCCTCCTGACCGTAGCAACGAAGGCTTATTTGCCTTCTCTTAATTAGCATGACGTTGGCTGGTCTACTGGCTTCCTTTAAACTTTATCACCATTGTTGATGCACACTGGCGCAAACTGAAAAAAAAATGGTTTAAATATTGAAAGAGATATTTTCAGGTTCAGTTGTGATTTATTGTCACTTGCACACACACACACTCAAGTCCTGCAGCAGGAAAACAGGAGGACAGTTCACTGTTGTCACTTCACAGTTGACCAGTGACCATTGGAGGCAGTGTGCTCTAGCACTCTAGCCTGTGTGTGTCTGTTCTGGGCACATGCTTCGGTCAACCATCGTTGTGGCGATTGGCAGTGAAAATGTCACTTGAAACAGTGTTGCTCTGCTGCCAACTTCTGCACCGTGTTCTGCTCTGCGAGTAATAGTGGATAATTATTTTGCTATCAAACTTGATTTGCTCTAATTTGATTACTGTACTCGGCACTGGGCCCATTGCCTGTGCCCACTCCCTCCCTCTTCAGCTTTCACTCTCCACAGTTCTCTGCCAGTGCTTCCTTGCTTGCTACGCGGGAACTTTCTACTTTTCCCATTCTCATGGAGCCGGGCACAAGACAGCAACAGCAGTCGCTGTTGTACTCTCACTTTCCGTTTGCCTTCAGTGCTCCCGACGAAGCTACTACACTTGCATGGCGCTCTTTCGCCGTTTGTCAGAACAGTCTACACCACGCAAAACTCTCTCTCTCCCTCTCTCCCCTCGACGGCACTGCACTGATCGTAATGACGAAACCGTTCGCCAATGAAATTCCTGAAATTCTTTCGACCATTCAATCTGCACTGTGCTTCTGTGCTTCTGTGCCTTTGCAAGCTCACTTTGCCATACGTTAGCTTCTGTCGGTTTTTCTATCTGCCTCTCTTTCCTTTCCTCCCGAGTGTGTATGTGCCATGTCAGAATGTCACTTTTCGCCATTTGGTTCCAATTTTAATTTTCTCTACACTCGTTTTCTGTCGCTGTCTCTTTTGCTCTCTTGCCTGCTCTCCATTGAGCGCTAATATTCACTATTTATCACACATTATAACAGTAATTCTTAATAGCAAACTCCTGCCGCTGTTGCTGCTGCTGTTTAGTCAAGTGGAGTCTTGCTCTGGTGACAAGCAGATCAAAAGACAATGCGACAATGCTCGAGAATGCTTCAACTGGAACCACCTTGTGCATCGGAAGATTTGCTTGGTTTCTGTCTCACATCGATCATGAGATCGATGGCAGCTAAAGCCGATAATCAACTGCTCTCTCTCTCTCTCTTTCTTTCTCTACTCATTTGATGACTGGTGAGCGTATTTAGATTTTGACACCGTCTTTTTTCACGTTCGACTTGTACGAGAAGGCAATTGACAAATTGCAGAAAGTGTATGTGCAGATCGATTGCCACTAGCAACTTGGTGGCGGCGGTGCTCTGTGGGTAATTAATTTTGCGACTGATTGAGTGTGACCAGTACGAGATTGCAATGCGGCCTTGCACTGCCTTTGCACTGCTTCCTCGATGCCTATGCTAATTGTTTTCCAATAATAAAAGTCACAAATAAACAGAGGGAGAAAACAGTGCCCAAGACCAGTCACTGACCAGGCGACAGTCTAAGGCGGCAGGAGAAAAAGGACAACAAAAAGTGGCCAGTGGACCAATTCAATTTCACTAAATGGCCAAATTGATTTGTCCTTTGCTGGGTACATACACACATACACACACACAAAACTCAGTAACTGGACGACGTTAGTTGGCTCTTTTTGGTCAGGCGGAACTTGAGTTTTCCAAAGTTGACGCTGCAACCGAAATCGATTGTCTTTATATATCGACTTTTGGCCGATCGCCCTTTTGCCGTCGCCATTATCATTAGCTCTGGCGATGGTGAAAGACTGCCAGAGACCAGCAATTGTGTGGTAGTGCAGCAGCACCACTTAGCGCACTCATTTGGTCGCATTGCTTTCTCTCTCTCTCTCTCTCTCTCTCTCTCTCTCTCTCTCTCTCTCTCTCGTTTTTTGTCCCTCTCGTTCTCTTCCTTTCTTCTGGATCTGTCCAATGAATGGGGTTCCTTGAGAATTGTACAGGCCGATAAAGCGCTGCTACACTTCAGCTTCTGTTGGCCGAAAATTAGCGTACAACATATAGAAAATCGAATAAATAAATAGAGATAAATGAGGCAGCTTTCTTCTCCTTTGGCTGGTGAAAAGGAGCAGAACAGTTAAAAATGTCAACTGCTCACTAATGACAGAATGGGTGCTGCCACAGAAAGACTGCTTCTCTCTCTCTGCTGACTCGGTTCCTGCCTCCATTCTCCTTTGGCCTCTCTAAAGCAAACTATTTATCTTGCCAATCACCACTGTTCGGCGATGGTGCTGATGGTGCTGGCTATTCTTCAGCCGTTTGTGATGTGTACTGTGGCCGCGAAGAGCTTGTTCCCCATCTATTCATTTGTCATCGCTCACTCTTTCTCTTTTTCTTCGGAAAAAGTGGTCCCGTCTGCTCGTCAGCTCAATTCAGCTGTCTTTCCCACTTCTCATTGATCTTCTCTCGAGTGCCACTCACTGCGTTACAATGGTGCCCGGTCTTGACGATAGTGATGGCGGTGGTAGCCATTGATCGGCTCCCTTTGCCACTACGCATCGATATCGTTCCAATTGGCTCCCTTGGCTGCTCTTGTTAATTACCGCTCTCAGCAAAAAGAAAGAGAAAAGCTTCGTGATTTGGGCTGGTTTCAATTTGCTTTGCCTAATTTAGCCTCTGTTCAGTGCTCAAAAAGTGGGTGACTCTTCACTTGTTTTTCGCCCCTCTGTAAAATCGAATTTTTCATAATAAATTATGCGCTTAATTAGCCTAGCGAAGGCACTGCCAACTGCCAACTTTGCAGATCTGAAACTCCTTTTTGACGATGCGTTTGTCACCATCACCAAACATGCAAAGTCGACGAATGCAATTTGCATTCCGCCATTCGATCGGCCACTGCTGCACCGAGCACTCAGCACAAAAGAATTCTTGTCCTCAAACGATCGATGTCAAGTGTCGGCCATAATTGCCTTAATTAATGGAGCCACTTGCTTAGATGAGAGTTCTAGGAATTTTTTCAGAAAACTCTTCAGTTAAACAATGACTAGTTTTTAACTTTTTAACTTTGAGTACCAATTTCGACGCTGATTTTGTTTTAAAACAGTTTTGAGTAACTTGTTCAAATGTAACTTTTAATTAAAGTTTACTGTTTTTTATTTTTAGTGGCAGTTTCTTTTGTTTTTAAAAAGTTAAACAATAGGTTGCTGAATTAACCACCAACATTTTAAGATTTTTTAATTAGATAATTAGAATAGAGTAACTCTTTAACTGAGACAGACAGTGGATGCCAGCTCTCTTTCACATTGCTTACATTCAGGTGTCGGCGTTGATTTACTTCATCTGGTCGTTGCTTTTGTTACAACTGCACCGCACAATTGATGTTTTTAGATGCACCACTCATTTACTTGCTCATTCTGCCAGTCAGTCATAAGAAAGCAGTGCAATCGTAGTGAACCAGTGACCATTCAAATTGCTTCATCAAGGAAACAAATCGACACTGAGCAAACACACACAAACGACCACTTACTTGAGCTCTTTTCTACGATCATTGACTGCTAAAGACCACTGGCGCAGCAAGTTTTTGTAACAATAATGCTGCCATAAATCTGGCTTGCTTTAGCACTTTATTTAATTTACAGGGGTTTCTTCTGTTTCTTACTTCACTTTTGCAAATTATTATTTTCACTTTAATTGTTTTTCTCATTTTCTTTTGTCCTCTTTTCTTCTAACCCTAAAGGTCGCAACGAATTAATTGCACGTTACATCAAACTGCGGACGGGCAAAACGCGAACTCGGAAACAAGTCTCTAGTCACATTCAAGTATTAGCAAGGCGGAGGCAGCGGGAAATACAGTCAAAAAGCAAGGTAAGTCTACTAAACCAACTACCATCAAGTGTGGCGGTTTTGCCAAAGTTTGCTGGCTCACACTGTCAAATTATATGTCAATTAAACCCTGTTGACGATCGCCATCAAGTTAGTGTGAATCCATATTCGGATAATGACAGTGAGGCAATTTACAGTGCCCCTGCAGCCCTTTTCAATTGCAATGGCACTGATGTTAGGCGCTTTTTAGTAGCCAATGTAGCGTCCAAGTGCACTTCATTCTATTCTTTTCTATTGAACCTTTATGGTCTGCCCTAATGAACGCTCCACTGAAGATGTTTGCTCTGCCTGTATTCATTTTTAATTGCCAGTACTGTTGCATTTAGTTTGAACTGGCTGGATAGCATTATTAATTATTAAAAAACATGAGTTAGCAACATTATTACCCGACCAATCTGCAGGGCAGTCAGAAAAAATCGATTTACGCTTTGATTCAAAAGTTTAAGGATGAGAGTCGTTATCGGTGTTGAAGCCCACTAATCGTATTTATTGTTACTCACAGGATCATAAAGACTCAAATAGCAAACCCTCTCTGACCTCATTGACGTCCTCGCAAATAGTGACCAACTTTGCAAAAGAGGCACTTGCCAGCCAACACGCAGCATCTCTTCGCCCTGGATCGGGCTCTTCACTTGACATAGGCCCTCAAGTTGCCACCCCCTACACGCCTCCAGTAAGTAACTAAAAAAGGGTCTTTGAGATTGTTAACTTACTTCAACTTTTTACTAGTTCTGGTCACAAGGACTTCCACAAGGCCATGATATCAAGCTAACCGCAGGGGGACATCCCTTCTTTGTAGGAACCAATGGTGGGGCGCTCAGCAATGGTTTTGGGCCGGCACTCGAAGGCCGCTCCATCGCCACACACAAGTTTCGCCTTGTCGAGTTCAGTGCGTTCATGCAGAATGAAAAGGAGAAGCACCTTTTTGTGCACATTGGTCAGTCGTCCACGTCGTACACTGACCCAATGCTCGAGTCGGTGGACATTCGCCAGATCTACGACAAGTTCCCCGAGAAGAAGGGCCTTAAGGAGCTGTACGACAAAGGCCCACAAAGCGCCTTCTTCCTCGTCAAGTTCTGGGCTGACCTGAGCACCTCATTACCCGATGATTCGGGTGCCTTTTATGGTGTCACCAGTCAGTACGAAAGCAATGATAACATGACTATTAGCTGTTCTACAAAAGTGTGCTCCTTCGGCAAGCAGGTTGTAGAGAAGGTTGAGGTGAGAACTTGATTGAATTCTTTTGCCATCCTTTTTCTTACCATATAATAAATTTACAGAAAGAGTACGCTCGTTTTGAAAATGGCCGCTTTGTGTACAGAATAAACCGTTCTGAAATGTGCGAATACATGATCAACTTTATTCACAAGTTGAAGAACCTGCCGGAAAAGTACATGATGAATTCCGTACTGGAAAACTTTACCATTTTACAGGTTTGCTCTTCATTTGTGTTTGCTTTAGAAAAAACTAACTTTCTGTACTCTTTTTACCATTGAAGGTCATCACCAACATTGACACACAGGAGACACTTTTGTGCATTGCCTATGTTTTTGAAGTGTCAGAGTCAGCAGGCACTCAGCATCACATTTACCGGCTTACAAAAGAATGATCCCACATTTTTTGCTTCGTCACATCTAAAAACGTTTTTTCTGTTTTTACCGTCAGCTCAACATCACCTCATTCTTTTTGTACTGTTTCCATTTTACAAAAACAAAGCGAGTTCACCATTTTATTTATTTAAAGTGCCTCTAAAACTGTAACTGAACTCTGCATCTAAAGTTATGCTTCGGGCTCTCTTGTTCTCTATCGATCTAAACATACCCCAACTTGAGCATGTACATATTTCAGCAACTCTTTCTTTGTTTGTAAGCTAGCGTTTCCAAAAACACTGTGCCTATTTGAACAAGTGTACCGAGAACGAGCCAAAGCTCAAAGCAATCGCACTTATTGGTACTACAAAACTCTCTTTCAACTGTACAGTTGCCCCCATCGTCAGTAGTCGCTATGGAAATGTATGCTCTCTTACTTGCTGATGTTGTGAATGCTTTGTAAAACGCCCTTTTTCATTTTCTACTTGCTAATTTTTCAATCTGCAGTCTTATTGGCGATCAGTTTTTTCATTTTGAAGTTACCATCCACTCCTGTACAGACAATTGTGCTTGAAATCACACGCAAACAAACACACACCTACACACACCGAAACGAGCTCATTTTCAGTTACCCAGCCTGTGTACAAAGCCAAGCGATCTCAAATGTGCCATTGTAATAATCTTTTTTCTATTACCACCATTTGTACACTTACCACTAGCCGACAGCTGACAACAACTTATGACACTCGTTTGTGCAACACCACCATTACAATGAAATTTTCCGAGTGAAACAAATATCTAAATGATCTAAAAGCTAGCGAATTGGGCCACTGGTTGTACCTGTTTACAGTTATTGGGTTGCTTTGAGAATGTGATCTTCGATTGTGATTTGTCAGTAATCAGTTAAGCAGTGAAGCAAGAGCCCCGCAAATATCTAAACACTTCTTGTGAAGCATTCACCACAATTACATCACAACTACATATGATCTCAACCGAGTAGCGGACTTGGCCTCTCAATCGAATAGCTCAAATTCGAAGCACTCAATGTAAAATGGATAGTTTTTAAGCGGTTAGCACATCAACCAGAAATAATTGTCATCATCAGCAGCCACATTGAAGGAGTTGAACTGAACAAAAACCTGTATATTCTAATTTATTTTTTGTATTTGTAATATTATCATTAAACCTATATATTTTCAAATGAATTTTCTTAGATTTTTATTTTGGCTTTAAAACTTTAAGATTGCCTTTGGGTTTGGTATCATTAGAAAGATGCCATTTATCTCGATTTACTGGTAAAAATCGCATTTTGATATCTTTAACTGTGTAATTTGTACAGTCAAAAATTTCAGCAAAGAGAAACGGAGAAAAATCATTTTTTAAAGATAGTTAACATGTAATACAATATAAGTGCACTCTTGGTAGAAAAAGAAAATTGAAATTCTTGCAAAATAAAAATTTCATTTGCGTGTTTGTGTGAGTGTTGTGTGATTTTAGAAAGTGATCAAATGCCTAATATTAATAAGAGAGTGTAGTTGTCAGTCGGAGGAGTAAAGCATCACAACGAGTGAGGGCGAGCAAAAATTGGGCGTATTACTTTCTGGTGCAACAGTGGCAGCAGTCGGTGGCCAAGATGATAATACAATTTGAAAGATAACCCATCCAATGGATGGTCAACGACGGCAACAACTGAAGAAACATCAACAAGAACAGAAAACAGCATCAAAGGAAAAGGTAAAAAAGAGTAGAAGGATATACAGGACTGTACATAGTGGTGTGTCAAAAGCCGCAACAAAAAACGCGGCAAAAGTTTGATATGAGGTCCTTGCGTGAAAAAATGTCCCACACGGGAATCAACAAAAGTGAACAGTTGACTACGTACAATCACAAAAGTAAAGTGTGCTTACAAAATATAAAATTCATAATCAATGTGTGTGGGTGTTGGTGAGATGTGGTGAGACCATGATGGTATCCATTGGGCGGGTGGGAGTTTTGTAAAAAGGTGTCTTATATAAAATATAGAGAAAAAGTATATTCTTGAAGAGGTGTTAGTGGTGATGCGGTGATGTGGTAAATTAGAAAAAGGGGTTGGCACTCAAAGAATATATTCAAAAAACAGAATCGGTGAAGAAAGGGCGAAATCACGGCAAAGGAAGGTATATAATCATAATGGGTGGCTACAGAACCGGCACTGAAGTGTGACTAATTGTCGATATGGAAAAGAAGTAGAGCAAAAGGTGACGACTACTCTTGCTAGGGTAGAAGGTTCATAGCTGAGTGTGCCCCTTATCAGAGGTGCTTATTGCTTGACGTGACAGTGACGTGGCCATTTGTGCCAGTCACTCATTTGACATTCATGGGCTTGGTCTTGCCATCCAGTGATTGCTGTGAGTTGGCAGTCTGTGTTGTTGGCTGCCCTTGTTGACCACCCTGTGGCCCTGAGACGTCGTCAGTTCTAACGTCTGATTTTAGCTTAACAAACTCCCTGGCAACTTCATCGTTTGACGTTCGCTGAGAGAGGATGCGCAAGACCGTCCATCCAGTTTCATCCATGTGAACACGCTTTCCTAGAGGCAGCCAACAGTTGCAGTTGCCCTGTTCAGCAATGTCTGCTAGCTGCAGAATGCAAACGCCCACCAGGCGATCTTCACGAGCAAAACAGTAGTCTTTGACAGCAATGTGAAGTTCAAAGGAAGTGGGCTCCTCTTCATTACCAATGATGCTGTAAAAAAAGAAAAGATACCATTACTTTACATTTCACAAACGCAAACCCCAACTTACAAATAAAATGTCTCGTTGTACTTTGGTGAAACGCTGTTGTGTTTTGATTTGGTTGCAAACTTTCGCTTTTTGTCACTCAAATGAGGACCAATCATGTTAACTTCAACAAAAGGCTTAAACATGTTTGTGTTTCCCCATTTAAGCTCATTACAACCAATAACTGCGAGTGAAAGATATTGATCAGATTTGTAAAACAAAAATATCTTTGAAATGCTTACTTTTAACCGTCACTTTATGTTCTCCAGAGTTGGGATGCGTGTAAAGATCAACGAAAATTGAAATTTCTCCAACAGGCCCATCTTCCTGGGTCGGCAGGTCCTGTTTAGTTTGAGTAGTGACAAAGGTTTTGATCAGCGTATCTGTCGATTGGGTGTACATTGACAGGGCATTTCGCAACGACTGCAAGTCGGTGCTCTTATCGAGGAACGCCTTCTTGAGACCGATTCCATTGGCGTGGAAAAACTGCTTCATAGTCTCCAGCGACACATCCAAAACAGCACACTGCCGAGGATTGAGATTTCGCTCAAACTGTAAACCAACAGACTGAATGCCCAAATTGGAAAGTGGGTTTGTTGATAGGTTGTTCTTAAAAATCCTTCCCACATCTTCAATCTTAGCATTTGGCAAACTTTGTAAAATCATATTCTTCTCATTCATCGGCGGAAGCACAATGGTCTTCTCCAGAGTGACCATCACCAACTTCCAGAGCTCCTTCAGCAGTCGCTTGAAAACAGTTTTCTCGCACATTTGTGAAAATTGTGACAGCTTTCCGTCAAGCAGGTCCATCAGCGGGTGGAGAATGTGGTCTGCATCGGCGGCCACTTCAGGGCTGCTCTTGATTGACTGCATCGCCTGGGCCGAGGTGCCAGCACTGCCCTTCACCTGGCTCAGCAGTACGCCCAACTCTGCCAGACTCTTCTTAATCGTCGGCTCAAGACTCTTGCCAAACTGAACACTCAACTCGTCCAGTTGATTGTTCAGCGTCACCTGTAGATCCTTCAAGATGTTCGCCGCGTCAGTCTCCAGCTTTTCGCCGCCCATTGATTCAAACATTTTCTCTAGCTGTACCCGCAGCTGTTGAATGTTGTTCATCAATACACAAGACTGAAAGAAAAAATAGTGTGTTACCGGTTTTAAAGTTCCCTTATGCACTGGCATTCTTACAATCTTTTCATTCTTTATGTTGTTGTTAAAGTCTCTCTTGACGATGTCCACATAAGCAGTCAATACTTTGACGATGGTCTTTGCAAAGCGCTTCATGTAACGCTTCACAATTTCCGGATCAGGGCATTCGAGCTTTTGAATGACATCAAAGCACTGCGTCAGTTGGGTGAAAACGTCCACCACAGAGTTTGAGAAAAGGGTGTGCTCAGAGCTTTGTTGGAACTGGCAAAGGAAACGATTTGATTAACAACATTACCAAAGCTGCATCATTCATTCATCTATCTACTCACCGCATCTTTCTTATCTCGCAGGTAGGCACCGTTGACGTACTCCAGTGAGACGTCATCGTTTTCATTGAGCCATTGCATCACAAAGGGCTCAAACCAAGCCGGATACTCTGGAACGGTGTCCTTGAACTGCGGCACATCGCGACAGTAGCTGTTGTAGAACCACTTGCACTTGAAATGCAAGTTCATGTACGCCGAACTTAGGCACAGTCGGTGTTGTTCGTGCTCTTCTAAGGCATACTTCATATCAACGGCAAATAGGCTCCACATGGAAGCGGCACTTAGGTGGCCAATGTTGAACTCTTGCGGAAACCTGTACAAAGTTGAGTTGATAGTAAATGCCTCCAGTACTTTCCACTCTAAACTCACTGATTCAGTACGAGGGTATAGCTGTTTTTATCCTCTTCAATCACTGACACCATCAAGGCCACCAGTCTGTGCCAGAAGTCGAGGTTGTGCAGACTTGGCCCAGTATCTTCTGGACCTTCCTTCTTTTCATTGGGATCAGTCTGAAACTCTCGCGTGTAGAGATCTGTACAGTTATCAAACAGCAGCTGGTACGTCGAACGAAGGCAGGCTTTGGCGCAGTCTTTCACTACGGTACTGGCACGAGGTGGACTTGATAACTCTTGCACTTTCATGCGGAAAAAGGTAATGCTCGTCAGCAGGTCAACGGTGGACTTTAGATCTTGAAGCTTCTCTGGTGAGGATGCGGGAAAGTTGTTCTGGAAGTAAATTCAAAATAATTAAACATGCAAAACAAAACTTTACAAATGGTTGACGTACGC